TATATATATACTCCCAGTACTCTCACTCCCACCCTCGTTCCTCCCTTCAAATGTGCGTTCATGTTGAAGGGTTTGAGTTTGTCTCACATTCTCCACATCCACCCTTTGCCCCGCCCATTTTGGGTACTGTTACGCGAAGCCCACATTTTTACGTATTTTGGCGAAGTGTATTACCCACAATTCATCACTGTGTGACGTTTTGAATTAAAAGGCAGAAATCTGTCCATGTCCACTGAGCAGCTTCAGTTGGTGGTTAATGCTCTGTCTGCCAAACACCAATAAAACCAAAAGAAGAACTTGTAGAAGTTCTGATGCATCAGCCTCCTTCACTTCATGTTTCCTCTCCTAAAAAACATTGCTTTTTGTAGATCTATCATTTTTAGCAAAACAAATACCAAAACAGTGACTGGTCCCTCCATGTCGGATGTCACAGTTACAAGTCGATGATGTAATCTGTACTGTCCCAATTCTCAATCTTGTTGCACACTTGTAACCTGCACACTCCAACACTTATGTGCACTTTGAATCCACACTTCAGAGAGAGGTGTAGGGTGCACACTGACCACTGGGACTGGGCCATGGACTGTGTCCAAAATCTGGGGCTGGGTCCTTCGAAGGACTCGGCCAACCCAGTCTAGGTGGGCCGGGTCCTTGGTTGACAGCAAAGACCAGAAAAGTGTCTGTGAATTTGCATGGTCTAGTCTTCTCCTTACCCCTACACACGTCCCGTAATCTACTAACATGACAACACCAAACAGAAGCGAAAATAGATCAAAATGATCAAAATATCAATATATTGTTATTCTAAATATCATAAAACAATGAAATTATCACAAAGGCAATATTTGAAGAACTAATGGACCTGATGAAGGTCGGCCCGCAATGCATTATGGGATAGGGTGGACCGAGAAGGATTCATCAGACCCATCCCTCAAATCAAGATAAAAGGGCACTGCCCCTGAATTTGGACACGGCCATGGAAAWAAAATGGCGACCGAACTGGGCGTTGGCAGGTGCAGGAAGCAGCAGTGTCCAAAAAACATCAGAAACTCACCCAAATGAGCAAATTCTGAGGTTCTGCGTTTTATACTGGATTCCATTTTGTGTCAAATCCATGATTTCCGCATTGTCGAAATCATAGGGCTCTACATATCCCAGTCCTAATTCTATTTTAATTTTTTACACACATGCGAGAAATTTTTCCACGTTACCCCCTGTAATATGCTCACATACCCCAAGGGGTACACGTACCCCTGGTTGGGAATCACTGCTCTAATATATTAATAACTTTACATATTAATAGTTTTTACATCTTCAGCCCTTATTGTTCAGTTTTACCAACATGTTCAGTAATGATTTCTACTCTCTGTCTTCACTGTTTGCTCTTTCAATCCTCAGATTGTGGACAGCAGGGACAAATGAGACAAATATAACACTTTTAATAAATAAAAATAGACTTTATGTTACAGCAGCCAGCAGGGCCCGGCTGAGTTCCTGAGAAACTTTAAGGTCAGCTGGTTCCAAAATGTCCCAGAAACCAGAGACTTCCTGAGTTAAGATGAGTTTTACCTGTCCTTAAAGCAACGTCCTTTCAAAATAAAGGCCTGAGGGACGAGTCGTGAGACCACTGAGATGTCATGAGACCCCTGAGATGTCATGAGACCCCTGAGATGTCATGAGACCCCTGAGATGTTAAGAGACCCCTGAGACTTCACAAGACCCCTGAGACGTCATGAGACCACTGAGACGTCATGAGACCCGAGACTTCACAAGACCCCTGAGACATCATGAGACCACTGAGACGTCATGAGACCCGAGACGTCAGAAGACTCGAGACGTCAGGAGACCCCTGAGACGTCATAAGACCCCTGAGACCTCATGAGACCACTGAGGCGTCATGAGACCCGAGACGTCATGAGACTCCTGAGACATCATGAGTCCCATGTCTCTGGGTCTCAGGTGTTGTCTGTGAAGACCTGACCCAGGACGGAGAGTCGAGCGCTGAACGGCTGAACAGGGCAGGACAGCGGCGGCGGTGTCTTCTTCTCTCCAGGCTTCAGGGCGATGCTGTCTGGTGGGTTTGGGGGCGGGTCCTTTGTCTGAGCGGCGGGTCGTTCTGATTGGCTCCTGGGCTGCGGAGGACTGAGCAGGATGTCTCGAAGCTCCTGGCGGTCCTGCGTGTGGCGGCTGCAGCAGTAGAGCGCCGCCGGGTCCAGAGGATGAGCCTCGGTGTTGAAAATGAACCCCCCCGCCCCTAATACACACTGCCCCCCCTCACCGCCCTCCTCCCAGGACCCGTCCCCCTCTGATCCCCCGCCGTGCAGGAAGTGGGTGGGGTCAAACAGCAGGTAAAGGTATTTGATGGTCTCAGCGAGGAAGAAGGACTCCATCCTGTTGTCCAGCTGGTGGTCTCTCAGGTCTTTCACCTGCAGGAGGAGTAAACAAGGTAAACAAAAACGTTTACTAGTAAACAACCTTTCACGTGGTACTCACACTGGCGTAGCCGCAGGGAGTCTTGGCGATCCGCTCGATGGACTCCAGAGCGTCGAGGCCCAGCTGCAGGTAGGTGGGGTCGCCTGTGGCCCTGAACAGGTACATGGCGCTCTCTATCAGCTCTGGAACAGAAACAGGAAGTTCTGAGACCAGGACCCGGTTCTGCTTGAATCAAACCAGACGTCTTTAGAAGAAGCCCGTCAGGTGCTGCCTGGTCCTACCTGGTCTCAGAGGGTACCCTTCTCTCTTGTCCACAGTGTACCCCTGAGGGATACTGTAGAACTCCGGCAGACCTCCAAACTGCCTCCACACTGAGTAATAGTTCTGGAAGGTTCTGACGGCACCATCCAGGTTCCCCAGCAGGGACTGAGACACAGAGAACCATAAAAACCWGTCCTCAAAGTCTCATCTCAGTGATGGGGTGCATTTACCTGCAGGCCGGGCCAGAAGGCTTCCAGACTTTGGAAGACCGGCATGGTGACAGTTCCTTTATGCATCTGAACCCACAGGTACCAGTCATCAAACCGAGTGTAGTTCTGGATGGACCGGTCCAATGCTGAGGACAGAAAACAGAGTCTGACTGTCTGCTGTGAGTCTCTGACTGAAAACATCTTCATCATCAATCAGACCGGAGACCTTTAGACCAAAGACCCTGAGACCAAAGACCTTTAGACCAAAGACTACATGAGACTGAAGACCTTTAGACCCAAGACCTTTAGACCAATGACCACATGAGACTGAAGACCTTTAGACCAAAGACTCTGAGACCAAAAAGCTTTAGACCAAATACCTTCAGACCAAAGATTGCATGAGACGGAAGACCTGTAGACCAAAGACTACAAGACCAAAGACTCTGAGACCAAAGAATACAGATCAAAAGACCTTCAGACCAAAGAAATTAAGACCAAAGTCTCTGAGACCAAGGATTGCATGAGACCAAAGTCTGCAAAAGTCTATAAAAAAAATTAAGGACCGAATGAACAGGAAGTTGATCCATCTGTATCTTGCACCATTCCTGCATTAATGACCATGCGGATCCTTGCCATTGAATACGTTGACCCTGACCATTGAAAATTGTACGTCGACCCTGACCATTGAACATGTTGACCCTCAATATTGAACACATTGACCTTTACCATTGAACATCTTGACCTTTACCATTGAACATGCTGAGCAGCTCTTCGTCCTGCAGCATTATGGCTCCTTTCACCAGATACTCAAAGTAAGAGTCCACTCCTGCTCCGATACCGGCATCCTGAGCCACCCACTTCTTTGTCACGATGTCGATGTGGTTCCCCACCTGAACAGACATACACATGTCCCTCAGGGTTGTAGAGTCCAGTCTAAAATCCCCAAACCAGTCCTTATCTCTTAATTTTTCTTCTAACAATCCAGCTTCTCATGAAACAATGGTTTGGATCTACTCTTTTCAGATCTGTTTTTCACCCAGTTTGATCTTAAAAATGAGTAAGAAGGTAAAACCTGAGGTTTGGATCAGGACTGGTGTTTTAGGAGGACTCACCAGTCCGATGTCAGACCTGGTCCTCCACAGTGCGGTCAGTGCTCGACGAGCTGCGTTCTCAAATGCTGGGTCCCCAGTTAGTCGACTGAGTGCTGCGAACTCCAGGATGAAGGTTCCGACTCCGGCGGTGCAGGTGACGGGCGTCTCGGTCGGGCTGACGCCGTGCAGCAGGTTCACCGTGCCGTACGGCATCCCCGTGGGCGTCTCAAAGGCTGGAGACAGTCAGACAGGGTAGAACCGGGTCAAAGAAACGGGTCGGCTCCTGGTTCACTGTTGATGTTGGACTTCAGAAACAGATTTGATCTTTTATCTTTGCTCTGATCACATCTGTGTTTCTGCTCTTTAATCCACTGTCAGGTGTTTGGACTCTGGGTTCTCCTACCAGGCAGCAGTTTCCTGGCTGCGTCCTCGGCCATCCTCAGCAGCGGTCCTGAACACGGCCATCCGGGCTCCAGGTCCATCCCGGCTCGACCCGCCAGGAGGTGTGCCGAAAGCAAACCTCCAACAACTGCAGACAAAACAGATTTCTAACCCGGTGGTTTGACTCCAGGACCCGACATGGATCTGGGTTTTTACCTCTGATGTTGGTTTCGAACACGGACGCGTTGACGTCGATGTCAAAGTCCACGGTGTCCTGGAGGAGAGACGCCACGCGCTGGAACTCTGTCCGGTTCCCCAGAACCTTCAGAGACCAAAAACATTTAAAGATGCCTTCACTGATTCAACATTTCTGCTCTTAATCTGCTGAACTTTATGAACTCTGATCAGATCTGTGTTTCTAAAACTCACCAGCAGAGTGTCGAGAGCGTCGATCAGAGTCAGAGAGAAACTAATCAGAAAAATAAAACTGTTCAGGTTCATCTGGGCAGCAAAACATCACAACAACAATATGATTCATGTGTCAGAAAACAGCTGCACCTCACCTGCCCCAGGTGTCCTGTCCATCACAGGTCAGTGGGCGGAGCTCATCGTACGGGAAGGCGTTATCCAGGTAACTGTTGTAGGCGTGGTAGAACATGGATTTGATTCTCTGTCTGAAACATGAGGCGGGTTTGTTCACGTTAGACCTGTTTAATCCAGTTTGTTCACATTAGATCTGTTTAATCTGGTTTGTTCACATTAGATCTGTTTAATCTGGTTTGTTCACATTAGACCTGTTTAATCTGGTTTGTTCACATTAGACCTGTTTAATCCGGTTTGTTCACATTAGACCTGTTTAATCCGGTTTGTTCACATTAGACCTGTTTAATCCGGTTTGTTCACATTAGACCTGTTTAATCCGGTTTG